AGGCCATTTCCTGCTAGGATGGAATGAATTATATAGTGTATATGTAAAGTTGATTCTGTCATTTAAAATAATCCCACAAGTTTATTCAATAACAATGAAACGTTGTTACTTCTTGGAAGATAGGAAAAGCCACCTGGGGCTTTTTGTAGTTAATTTATTCCACACAGAAGATTCCATTCACAGCTTACCTGACTTCTTCTTAGTGGCTTTTCATGTCCCTCAGGGCAACTTTATCTAGATGGGACTTCAGTTTACCTAATCCAACCAGTCTACTTGGCCAGAGTAGAGGTCTTGGTTCAGCTGCAAACTAGAACCCTAAATTAGAACGCTTTGGTGAATTCAGATAGAAAATACAAGTGGCATACAAAAAAACTCAAATTTCACCCCAAATTTAACTTCTCTCAAGAAGTTCAGAAAATATTTTGCAAGCCCCTCTTCATACTAATTTTGAAAAACTGCTTTCAACTACATATTTGGAACAGATTTAAAGACTCACACATGACCCTGTTTCCCTCTTCACCCCATTACAATCTAATGATGTGACAATACGAAGAAAAGATTACACTACATTTTGAGGAAGGGGGAGTTGTTCAAAACCCCTGCCTATGTGAAAATTGGAGTTTGAATATTGAATAGAAGGATGAAATTAAAGAAGCATGAGCAATATATTCTTATCAGGGAGTGGAGGCCTCCCAGATTTATCACAAGCATGACATAAATTTTACATTTTTTATCAAACATTTTGTAGATTACTTGTTCTAGTTTAAAAAAATGCATTCTCACATTTTTTTTTTGGTGTCTGATTTTATGTAGTAATGTAATGAAGCAGTCAAAAAGATAATATTAAGACAAAAGCAGCATTAAAATCAGTGTCAATAAACAGAGTTCCATGGTGGGTCAAGGTGCCCATGGGGATAACAGTTATGGACCATTTAACAAAGGCATCACTGACTATGTCCTTATCAGAGGGCTGTTTTTGCTTCTAAATAGTTAACAATATTTATTGCTTGTAAATGTGCTATGAAATAAATATGGTAACTTCATTAAAAGATGAGGAAAGAAGGTAAGTTGGGGCTCTGAGACTCTGGGGTTGGTGTCACTGATATGAAAACCTAAGCTCCTTCTCCAGAGACCTAGGGTTTCCTCAAAGGGGTGGTTTCAGCAGCGTGAAAGGAAAGAAATGAAGAATGGAAAGACGAACTGACTGAGAATGCCTATAGCCCAATATATCCACTCAAACTGAGCATCAGTTCAGCCCCCAAACTATTAGCAAATTTCCCTTTTGTATTCCACTTTGGCATTTAGTGGGGATGAAGAAAATGCAGGAAAAGTAAAAATAGAAACACATGTAATTCACAAGTGAGAGAGGAGGAAAAGAGCTAAGGGTGATTGAAGGTTCCCCCTATGTTAATGACAGAGTGGGAGGGGTTAAAGGAAGGGCTTCCAGACCTTTCTCTTCCCTCTATTCACTTGACAGCTAAATCTTAACCTCGGCTCTGTCACCTTTGAAACAAATGGAAACGATACCTTTCTCATTCATAAATCATATAAAATCATGGCATTATAAAAATTTTATTAATGAGATTTCAAGCAATAACATTCTTTGATTACACAAAACAAATTTAGTGCCTTCAGATATGTCAACATGTACTTAAGATTTAAAAAGAGAAAGAAAATACAGTACATAACAGTGAGAGCCAGCTGAAGTCATAGATATGTAGATTTTTTAAAAAATTGTATATTTATGCAATCCTATACATTCTGAGGGGAGGTACCTGGAAAACACATAAAAAAAGCAAAACCAAATCATTTACTGGTGTGCCTGATCTTGACCCACTTCATAAAAAGGCTTCAAATACAGTTCATGGAAGTCATATATTTTTCAGATTGAATGGAATTGTAGGATGGTTCTACCTGCTTTTGACCCCAGGGAGTTTGTTCTCAGTACCTTCCAGTGCCTCCTGTTCTGCCTTTTGACACACATCTTCCTCCTTTCACTCAGGTGGTGCCTCGACATTGTGTTGCAGAGACCAGAGGGGATCCAAATTCAGGGGTTCCTACAGGAATATTCTGTGATGCCATATCAGTACAAACCCAGCTGAAACTTGAAGACAACTGAAACTTGAAGACGATTTTGACATATTTATGGAATTAAGCAATATATAAAATCATGCTATTTTATTTTTGCTACTCTTATTTTTGAATCCCAAGATCTGGAATCATCGATGTCGTATTAATTTACATGCTTACTTTAAAACAGACCTGTAGAATAGGTACTGATAGAGTTTTCAAATTATTTTCCAAGAAACAATTCAATCATGGGAAGAGATTTTGTTAATTATTTTAGGATTTATTTTGGAAATATATGATAGATTTGGTACTTTATGTATGCTGTATAGATTCCAAGATAACATTTCAATCAAATATAACTTGAAATATCTGTTTAATACTATATAATCATACATTATCTGAATGAGCTTTAGTTATTCTTTTTTTCCCTATGGATTCCCTAAAATCAAAAGATACATCTCTATGTGTGAATATTTAAATATATATTCAAATATAATACCTTTAATTTAATTCATAGATGACTGAAAAAGTCCACAATAGACCCTAAATGCATATTGACTCTTAGGTTTCTATTTGGTGTGTTAAACTACTTATCCATTGTTTATAATGTTGAGGGGGATGTAGCTCATGTTACTCAGTGAAGTTGGTTTCATGTGACCAAATACTTCACAAGATGGAAACTCATGCACAGTTTCCTTGGTAGCCATTCTAGCAGATTGAATCATGGTGACTCATTTTGGCACTGTGCAGCTCTAATAAGTAATTACATGGGAATCCTAATGTAATTCAGTAATAATTAAAGTCCACTAAGCAGAAAAAAAACATTCTGGCAATGTCAGAATGCAGAGGTTAGTTGTCCATCATGGGTTTTAAAAAACTGTGGTGTGAAAACTCAGAGAAAGCCTCTGTGTAGAAGGTCTTTGAATTGAAAGACAAAAGGAACAGGGTAATCTTGAGGTTCTTTTCACAAGTTTGATTAGTTGATTTCCCCTTAGAAAATAATAGTGATAACAGCTACCATTCATGGACCACTTATGTGTCTAAGTGCTTTACATAATTATCTTATTGAGTTGCTGGAGCAACCATGAGACACAGGTAGTATGGTGCTCATTTTACAAATCAAGGGGAAATGATGCTCAGAGGTTAATCAATTTGCCCACAGTTCTACTCTCAGTGAGAGGCAGAGCTAATGTGGAAACACCAGGCTTTCTGAACCCCAAGTCCTCTGCCCCAGGCAGCTATATTTCCACTTGAAAGGAGCATTTCCTAGTGTAAGTCTAGCCCTCATTTGAAACCTGTATGCCTCTAAGTACTTTGGCACATTTGTTCATGACAAGCCAATTGTCATTTGGCTTTTTAAATCACTTGATCCTGATCAGGCAGATCAAGAGCCCAACTAAGGAGTATAGTTTCAAAAGCACTAAATAAATATTCTCATAGACCTGTCCACCAATGCTGGAACACCAGTATCTCTTCACTTCAGATTGAATCATGGTGACTCATTTCAAACAAAGCAAATTTTCTTTGCAAGGTTTCAGAGGGAGTGAGAATGGAGGAGCAGACTGGGGGTCGGAGGTCAGGGCAGTGTGGAGTTGGTGATGTGGGCTGCAACTCAAGGCTTTAGGCCCAATGTTATTACTTGTGAATAATTTTAGGGTAAGGAACCATATTTTATCCTGCCTTTCTAGCATCTAAGCTAGTGCTCAGTACATCACTTTTGGACATTATTTGTTTGCTGAGTTGAATAGAAGGGTTTTTATGTCTGTGCATGAGAATAGATTTGGGGAAGAAAAAGAAAAGAATCTGAGAACTCTGAGTGATTGGGTGAGGGATGGGAGTTACCTGGTAGGACTTTAAGGACTGAGGAAGAGGTAGAATAAGTAGAGACTGGCAGAGTAGGCTACAGAAAATAGTATAATAAGGTAAAAGGAGAATACTCCAATAATCATGAGACCTTACATAAATTATTTAGTCTAAATCTCAGTTCCTCATCCCTAAAGTAAGGATTGATAATTACTTTTATTCATTCATCTTAATCATCCATTCATTCATCCATCCATCTACCCAGCCATTCATCCTACTAGAAGATAGTTGGAAGATGAATGAGATATTGCATTTAAATACTGATTATACGACTTAGTACACAAAATAATAATGATTTTAAAAATCGTAATCTTTACCACATCTGTGTGATGAAATCCACTTAACAAATTAACCAATGCTTAGAAAGAATGACTAATGAGTTTCTCAAGATCACATAACATGAGTGATGGTGGTTTTGTCCTGGGTTCGTTAGACTACATTGATTATTGGAAGGTCGCCAACTTCAAAGACTCATATAAGGAGAGGGTCTGACTCCTTAGTCCACTGAATTTATGTGATAAATAAATTTATGTGATAAATTCAGTTACTGACAGTACATTTCAAATTTAGGAGTAAACCCATACTTCTCTTTTTAGAGTTTGCATGTTACACTTGGATTGTTTTCATCGTGTTTCCTCAGCACATGCCAGGTGGGAAGAGGCTTTGACACTGGCAGGAAACTGCCTCCTTACCAGTCCTGCATGAGATGCATTCCTCTCCTGGCTTGCCAAGCGTTGGTTGCTCCTTCGCTTTATCTGAGGCAGTTCAGTTTAATTTTTCATTGTGACAGGTTTTCGTCTCCGATTCTATTTAGAGCATGATTTTCAAAACTTTTTCATTCTGTAATCCCTTTGAGGATTTCCACAGCCCTGGAACATAACTTGAACCACTTTGCTATCAAAATAAAAGGACGGAAGAATAATTCAGCTGCTGGGAGGAAAAGCAGGTGACATTTTTCCTTTCCGTGGCCCCTCCGGAGGCAGAGATAAAAGCAGGAGGTTTTCAGGGGAGGGAACGCAGAGTGTGCAGACCACACCATAGGGGCTGGGAGAGAAAAGATGCAGAGGACGAGGTTCGTGGGAATCCAGAGACACTCTTGCCTAGCAGATGCTAGCAGTGTCATAGCTCTAGGCCTGTGACTCCCCTGGGAATATCCCTGGAGAAACTCGACATCCTCTGTGAGAAATATTGATTTGAAACAAGCAGCTTTTCTCCTTTGTCCCCACTCACTGCCTTCCATCTCCAAAATTCTCTCTTTTCCCTCCTTCTCCCTTCTCTCTGGCCTGTCCTCACCTTCCTCCTTACTCACTCACTCCTTTTGCAAGGATCCAGGGATTCAATGGGTTTTCCTTTGATTTTTCAAGCAGTCTCCCTTCCTCACACCCCCAAGGACTCCTAGAGCTAACCTTGACCTCCGCCACAAAGCCTCGCCTTTCCTACTGAACATGAATGAATAACACTGTCACCCTCATCTCTTCCTGGTGGGCAAACTTTTTCAGAGCATCTGAGCTGGCTTTCCCTTTAACTTTGCTGTCTTTATTCATACCTGCTTTTCCTGGATTGATCAAGTTGCAGCTGTTTTTCTCTTTAACTTCCCCCTTCAGTTTCAGCGAAAATAAACTACTTCCTGACTTCAGTGGCTGGCGGTAGACAGGTCATCCTGAGTGAGAAGCCCAACTCTAGAGCTGGAGGAAGTGAACTCTCAGCATTGTTTGCCTATTGGGTAAGGTTTTGAGTTTTTTTTTGGGGGGGGGGTAGGGGGACAAAGGACTTCTCGACTTTTAAGGGCATTGGGCATAAGCTCTGCCCTCACATAAAGATGGTGTGTGGTCACTGAAGGTTCAAATGTCACTAAAACTATGCATGTTTGCCGCTGGCCCCCTGCCACAGGTTCATTCCAGTGGCCTCCCTGATGTCTGCTTCTCATCTGGTTCTTCCTAAGGCCATCAGCTTTGTGATATATCACTGAGATTTCTGTCATCGCTCATTCTAGAGTTTCCTATTCTAGTTTCAGCCACAGATGCAACGTTCAGTGCCTTCGTCTCATTGTGAATCGGCATGACGTCAGCCTTGCTATGTCTTTGTGCAGTTTGAAATTGTTCTTCCGGCTTATTTCAACACTCTGAGTCTGCCACACCCTCTGTTTCCGTCTACTCATGTTAGCTGCTTGGATGTTGTCATTCTCTACCACTTTTTCTCTACCTCTTTGTACAAGAAAAGCCAACCACACCTTAAGGTATTCCCTCTAAGCAGCCCAACCTCCTGATTCCTTACTGGAAACAGGACCAAAGTTATTTCCACCCTTTGACACTTCGATCTTTCTGGCATGAAAGAAAAGTACACTTGGAGGAACTTATTCCTTGTTCAACAGGTAGTGTGTTATGTTTTTTTCCATTCCTCTTATTTTCTGTTGGTTTTTCCTTCCCTTCTTTCTAAATAATTCTGTCTAGCAATCACTCTGCTTATGTGTGCACATTAACCTTAGCACTTAATGTAATACATAATTGGGCTCATATCATTTCACATGTAACTTTAAAGTTTGATTCTTAACAACAAATAAGAAATTCGATATCAAACACCTAAATTCAAAATTTTAAATCAGCCTTAAAAACTAAGAACACAGTTTATCATCTTATAAGAAATTTCCACTCATTTTCCACTCAGTGAGTTATTCTTAAAAGTGATCAATATGCCAAGATTCTTGCTGACTTGTTTGGCATCAAACTATTACCTGGGTGAATGGATGATATCTTACCTAAAGTATCAAGCCAATACAATATCAAATGTACCTAGATGTTCTTTAACACTTTGGTTTAGATATATGATATACAAATCACTAATTTCCTCTCTCATTCCTGAGATAATGCAGTTCTTGCTTCTTCCCTCACAAGATTATTCTGAATGAAGTGCTTACACTGTCACCAAGATTGTCCTGCCAAGGGAAGTTGATGGGACTTTACTAAGCTTCCCATCATTCCTGAAGTGGTAATGGAAACAGTGGAGATTGAATAAACATCATAATCATCCTTGGATTGCTCCTGCTTTGCATTTCCCCACAATGGTGGGGTTTAAAATGCAGAAAACAAAAAATAAGCAAAAACATCTCCATGTTTCTACAGGATTTATCAACCTTCCCAATAGGATTTTTCCTTTTTTGTTCTGGATTCACTTAATCACAGCCTTGATCACTTATCAAATGCAATGGTCATCTTTGGGGAAGATGATTGGGGGAAAGAGTAAAGGTTTGAAGTCCCATAGATGGAGGTAATAATCTCACCGCTGGATCCGAAGGACAACTTCACCTCTCTGGGCTTCAATTTCTCATATAGAAAAAGGAAATAACAGTTCTTAACTCTCTGTCAGGATTATGCAATTGAAGGTAAGAAACAAACAAACAAAAAAACCTGTCTGACATAAAATGTATATATATATATATATATATATATATATATATATAGTAGCTTAACTGAGTTGTAGCAGTCCTTTTATTCATGATTTGATACTTACATTTATTTACTTTATAAGTTTAAGCACAGGAAGACCTTCTCGGTGTGAGTTTATAGATACTAGAAAAGTCCAGAAAATGCTCAGAAATCCCCTCCTGACACCCAGATATTTCTATTTCCACCTTTGACGTAGTCCTTAGTTATATTAATGTTTAGCTCATTGTTAAAATGTGAATGCCATTAGGATTAATACTTTAAATCTTATTAACAGTCATCCTTTGGTGTGAATGGATTTATCAGAGATCTACTTCTTTTGGGGATTTGATCAGGAAAAATTAAAAGAGGTAGGTTGAAGGTGCGGGTATTCTGGCATCTGCGGGGTTAGGGAGGAATACACAGAGCTGGGGTTACAGAGTGGTGCTTTAGGGGAGAGAGAGAGGAAAGCCTTTACTCCAGTTGTAACTCTCATTTGGTGATAGTGTCAACTCTAATCACCCATCAGAATTACCTCAGCAACTTTCAAAGAATACCCACACCTAGGACCCTGCTTCAGAGCCTCAGAGATTAGGACTTGTTTGGGCAGGACATCATTAGTGTTTAAAAGCCCCTTAGATAATTAAGATGGAAAACCTTGGAATTAGAAGAATTAGTGGCATAGGAAACATTTTCATCAAGTTCTCCCTAATCTATTCCCAGACTCAGAAGAAAACAATTTAAAACTGGTATCTTAAAGGACAACTTATTTCTTTTTGATTTAATTACTTCTAAGACTCACTTCAAAAAATGTGAGACCATAATATTTCTTGACTTAATTGCAACATTTTGTGGAAGGCGGCGCAGATTTAATAATAACTAGATTCCAGGATCAGTTCAACAATCATCGATGAAATGTGGAGTTTTCACATTCATTATTCTTATAGTTATTGCCTCTCATAAGCAAGTTTCTTCTTCATTTCTCAGAGGAAAAGAATCACAATAGAATCCTCAATAAATTCCCCTTAATGATCAATTCATGGGACTAAATTGTTTATGTTTTATAAGACATAATGTGTCTTTGATCTATCATGATGGTTGGGTAATATTTTCAGTACTCTTTTCTTTTTGCAGGTGGAAACGGAAGTTCAGATGCTCTGGGTCACATGAAGGATTAAATGCGCAGCCAGAATTTGCCCTGGGACTTTGAAACTAAAATTTGCATGCTTTCCACAAGTCCTTTCTGTTATTTTTGAATGTCATTCCCATTTCTAGGTGAATCTTGGTAATTTTCTTTTTTGTATCAACTAGTTTCTAAGCAAGAGTCAAGCTTTTGATGTTTATACTGCAGAGAAAAATCCCAGAGCTACACGGTTGTCTTTTCTCTTAATCTTCTAATTTCAGAACACGACATATCATGTGTGCAACAAAAGGGTGACTTAGGTCTTGGTCCAGCCTGTGATTGCCTTTGTTTATGCTTTTGTCCTGGAATAATTATTAATAGTGGTCTCTTCACTATCCAGAAGGTCCTAGTTAGGATGATAAAGTCTATGGTCATCAACCTAATGAAGATCTTAGAACATGGAATCAGTAGGTATCAAGCTTTGTCTATTTTGCATAAATAAGTTATTTATTAGCCTGGGTTTTTTTTCTACTAATAGTTTCCAAAGTTCTTTTATCTCATAATATTTTTCACTTATAGCTTAGAGCTTCATTGAGATTTAAATATTATATGGCTTCTAGATTAATGGTTATGCTAACTTATTCATTTATTAATCATTTAGTAATCATTGATTTCTCTAAGAATGGAGCTATACAGTTTATACCCTGTGTCACTCAACTTTTTGTCACCGTGACCAAAATACCTGATTAGAACAAATTAGAGGAGAAAAGGTTTATTTGGGCTCAGGGTTCTAGAGGTCTCAGTCCATGATCAGCTGGCTCCATTATGGCTTTGGGCTTGAGACCACATGATGGAAGGGCACAGGGGAGGAAAGCTGCTCATTTTATGGCATCCAGGAAAGAGAGAGAGAGAGAGAGAGAGAGAGAGAGAGACCCCAGAGACAAGAAATGCCCTTTGGGACATGTCCACAGTGATTTACTTCCTTTAATCAGGTCCCATCTCCCACAGCCTCCACCACCTCTCAGTATTTCATTTAGCTCTCAATGGACTGGTCCACTGATGAGGTCAAAGCCCTTATGATCCAATCATTTCTCCAAACCCCACATCTGAACATTGTTCACCGGGGACCAAACGTATAACACATGAGTGTTTGGGGGACATTCCAGGTCCAAAACATAACATACCAGTTATCTCATTTAATATTCACAAAACTCTATGCAGTGGGTACTAGTGCTGCCCTCCTATGTCAAAACTGAAGCATAAAGAGGATAAGTTACTTGCCCTGGGCTCAGAGCCCTTTGTCAGAGAATGAGAACTTTAGCCTATGTCTGATTTCAGAGTCCATAATCCAAAATGGTACACTGTAATTGGGCCCTCCCCTCTTACCCATTCTACAAAGGCCCGTTTCTTACATAGCCATGGAGTAATAGTTCTTGTCACTAATTATTTGTCAGATGAAGTAGAGCATAAAGAAGAGTACAAGGACAAAAGTTTTACATCCAATATGCCATTGGAAACACCACCTCTTCATATACAGTTCTGACTTTGGCTCTAAGACTATTTGTAGAGACTATAAAATAGTTCAGCTTCAAATCTCATCCTTTGTTTCAGCATAGACTAAATATCCAAAAAAAATGTATTGCCTACTCTCTTCATCTATATATTTTAAAATGGCCTGCACTATTTAAAGTCAGTAACTTGGCCAGCAGAATTTATAACTTCTAACATTTTGAGTTAATTGAAACTAAGCCCATTTTAATTATTCATGTAGATTTACAGTAAGGAAGGCTCGGAGGGACTGAGTATAAATGAATGGTATTCAAACCAGTCAGCCAAATATTTGTTATAAAGTTGAAGCATTGATACAAAGATAGAGCAGAGAGATAGAATTTTATCAAGTTACAGGCTATTGGGCAGAAGGGCTAAAAAAGGTGGAAGTTTGAACTTTGGAAGTGGGGAAAAATATCTCTGAAACTCTACCATAAGTCCTCATATGAAAAAGAAAATCAAAATAGTATGGCCAAGGGTTACAGTACATCCAAGAAGAGTTAGTCAGTGTTCAGGCAGATGAACTCTTATTTGGTACTAAAAATTTAGTCATTACTGAATGTGAATTCTGCCCCCAGGGAGGCTGGGATAATAGTAAATATGAAATACAAAATCAAATAAATGTGTTGTTGAACATTTTGCAATGTTTGAGGCAATATTTTGGGGAGAGGAAGTGGAAAAAAGATTTGTGAACACTAGGGGTTGAACAACAATGAAAAAGATGGCGGACATTTGCTTTTGTGGGCCAAAGGAATGTGGCTTTATTTGAGAGTGACAAATGGCCACCTATGTGGCCAGTGGCCAAACAAAATAAGGCAATTTTGAGGGCTGGGATTATGGGGGCACTTAGTGGTCATAGGGAACACAGATAAGGAGTCTGAGTAGGAAATTATTGAAGGCCAGTGCTGAGGACTAAGTAATAACGAAGTCGGAAATAATTGTGACAAGATCCACATGGTTAGCATGAAACATTTCTTTTGTATGGCACTGGTCATTCTGTAGGAGTTGGAAAACAAAATGAAAATATAACTTGAACAGACCTGGATTAAGAGATTTTGTAGAGGCTATCGCTGAGAGAAGATATAGAATAAAGACGATACGGAAGTGCCTGAGATTAAGGAATAAAGCTGAGGAATAGCCTTTATATAAGCCATCATAGATCTAACTCTTCTTTTTACAGAAGTGAAATAGAAAGCAGATTTTCTTCCAGTCAGCCAAACCAAACACTAATAAAATTGGCCAGCATGAATGTAGAAATAAATCATCCCAAACATGATTAATGTGCACATGTAATGGAGTTTCTGAGAGCAGGTACAAAGTGTGTTTTTTCTACTATCACGTAGACTATACCATTTCCATAATTTGGAGATTTTAGGATGAGGAAAAAAAAAATCCAACTCTAAATGTTGGCTTCTATGAGGAGCAGTCGGATTTGGCAAGAAACAAATAAAATAAGTCAGCAGGAAATGAAAGGAACGACTTTTGAAATTTCTTCTTGTTTTTCCGTATTGTGAGAATTCTGCTCATAATCATAATACACTGTAGTTTATATTTTCGAAAAAGGCCACATTAGGAGTTATAGTGGCTGTAAGAGATGCATGGGTTTGAATAGTAATCTCTTTGGAAGATCACAGGAATGTTTTGAAAATGTTTCCACCAAAGGAAGTTCACAGACGTCAAATTAAGAAGGTTAAATTTGCATTGGGTTTCCTCTCACTTTGTGCTCTTCCTTCTCTCACTTCTATTCCCGGCCTGGCCCTTTCCCAGGCAGGAACTAGGCACTGCCCTCAGGACCATTTCTTCAATGTCCCATGCTCTTCTCAGGCTGTGGATCCCAGTTGGCTATTTCTTCTGTCTTCAACAGAACCTCTCAGCTCATACCCTCTTCCCTGATTATTTGTATTTTTTCCTAGGGAAAAGCTAATGCATACGCAGATAACACTGACGCTCTGCCTAAGTCCCCTGGGCCCCTGTTCCTCTTTGGGGTTCTTTCAATAGTACAGTCTGTCACTTCAGGAGCCTCTTTTGTTCACAAGATTATGGCATTTGTAAGTAAATGGATGGAGTCAGAGAATATGATGCTAAGCAAAATTAGCCAATCCCCAAAATCCAAAAGCCAAATATTTTCTCTGATATGTGGCTGCTGATCCAAGGGAAGAATGGGAGGAACTATGGATTGGGCAGAGGGGAGTGATGGGAGGGGAAAGGATGTGGGCATGAGAAGGATGTTGGAATAAGATGGACATTAGTACTCTAGGTACATGTATGATGGCCCGAACGGTGTGACTCTCCATCATGGACAGCCAGAGGAATGAGAAGTTGTGCTTCATTTGTGTACATTGAGTTGAAATGCATTCTGCTGTCATGTATAACTAATTAGAACAAATGTTAAAAATTTAAAAAAAAAAACAGAATCTAGGAATGTATATGCTTCTGGAGTGGTCCACTGTGAGCAACTGAGAGGTGCGGAACTGGGAAAGCCCAGCTGTCATGTGGGTCAGGGTGGCTGGGAGGCAAAGTTTACATTTTGGTTTTCCTGTAGAGTCAGGCTGGAGTTTCCCAGAATTCCTGTCCTGTGCTCCCCTGTTCCGCCCTCTCCCGTTGTCCCCTCAGGTGTGATGTATCCTCCATATAAATCCCTGTGTGAGTGTCTGCTTTGGATAGCTGACCTAAGACAGTGCGTTGTTTTTTCCCTAGAATTATTTATGTTTTAGCTGCAATTGCTAAAGATACGATGCTTTTGCTCAGAGGAATTAAGCTATAGTGATGGAACAGCTTATATAAGGCAAGGATTGTATGAGCAAGTGACATAAATACTATCCTTAAACTCTGTACATAACTCCCCAGTCTCTTATACATAAGGCAAGGTTTACTTATAAAAATAGACTAAATTGTATCCTCAACTCCCAGTTGCTGTTTTTCTCATCTATAAAATGAGGAAAATCTTTTAATAACTTCCTCACGAGGTTGTTGAGAGTTCAAATAAGATAATGAAATTACAAAGCGCTTAGCCAGTGCTTCATGCTTAGTAATCATTCATTAACATTCGCTAATTTCTTACAAAGTATATTGTATGCTGGCTAAAATGAACAACTTTAAATTAAGACAAACTGAAATGGATTCCAATTGGCATTAACCACTTTATTAACATGTGACTTTGAGCAAGTACTTTAACTTCTCTAAATGCCTCATTCGCCATATCTTTACAACGAAATACTTCAAATCAGGGAAATACAGTCTGAGCTAGATCAATAAATAGGATTATAAGCAATACATTTGTTACAAAATATAAAATAATTTTGTTTAAAGATTGAGCTCTTGAAATTAATGATTCACAAAATATAGTAATTAACTGTGGTAATTTTCAATGTCAATTGTTATATTACCACTCGATAGAATTGAGAGCTGCTCATTAGATATAAGATGCACTGAGTCTACTTTTTATTGGGTTCCTGTCGTAGGGCAACTGGTTAGCTTTATTAATAAAGACATTAATAAGACTAAGTTTATGCATTTGATCTCAGTATGGGCCAGTGAGCTTTGCTCTGTTTCATGATCCCAGACTGGACTTCTAACCTTGTGGTCATTATGTGGATTTGTAATGTTCAAAATGAGAACACTAATGAAACTGGTCAGTATGAACACACCCCAAAGGCCATTTAGATGAGTGTGGGGGGGGAGGGGGAGGGGGTGTAAAAATGTAGCACAGAAAATTAGGTCTAAAGGATCCAGGGGGATTAGGCAAGGATTAGGGTATTAGTTTAGCTATGGAATACTCTGTGAACTCATGGCAAGTAATGTTGGGCACCAAAGAATACACAAGGGACAATACTCAAGTGCATGCCGAGTTGATATGTGCGAACATTCATTCTCTGAAAGGAAGGAGAGCATGACTTTTATTTCCTTTCCCTGGGCCTCCATTCTAGACTTATAAAATAAGAGTGGTGATGTCTTTTTCTCATATATGAAATGACATCATTTGTTTTAAAGAGAAATGGGAAGAAAATATTTTGGACTCTTTAGAAGAAAGGTACAACATTAAGCTAAGTGGACCTACTATTATTTTGGTTTTCTCAAGTGTAGATTGATTGCAGGAACAGGGAAAGTATATTTCACCCTGGGAAATATACTTTTATCTTAAATCAGAGTTGATTTAAGACTTGCTGAATATAGCTTAAAAAAGAGCCAACTAATCCTTTGGTGCCTGATTCAGAAGAGTCTAGCAGAACTGAGAGGGCCACTCCGGCTCCCCAGTTCTTAGTCCTATGAGTCTGTGATTTCATAGACATGGAGCACCATGTTTCAAATTACATTAGCTAGGTTCCTCCTAGATAAAGAACTCCATTTCTCCTACTTACCTCTTTCTAATTAAATTAGTTCTTGTGTTTGATTGTTGGCCTCCATTATATGTTCTTTTTTATTTTCGTATAGAATTTATAACTGTCCCTGTATTTGGAAGCTTTCAAACCGAAATGTTCCATTTGCTAGTAACCAGGAGGTTATCTTTACTTTTACAAATGTTCCACTGTCAACCTTGTCTAGTGTATTCTTTGGTGCCCAACTTGCCAAAGGGTGCTGCAACTATCAGAAAACTGAAATTTTATTCTCCTAAATGCAATTGGTAAGGACAAGGTCATAAATAATTAGAGGACAGTTTATTAAGCTTTCATATTTTTTTCATATTTTATTTTTTATGGAGCCCAGAAAAGACTAGGAAAGAGAAATTTGCAAAAATCAAACGCTGGTTTATGTTGCTCTTGGTCAGGTCATAGAGTCCCAAAAGAGGCAAATATGTTAAGTGAAATGAATTCCTCTGGTATACTTTGTTATTATGTAAGACTCTTAGGCGGCTTTCTCATCTATAACAAATAACCTGCGATAAATCAACTTATAAAGAGAAAACCCAACTTATTTTGGCTTACACTTTTAGAAGTTCCAGTTCCTGATCACCAGGCTCCATTGCTTTGTGCCTGTGGCAAAACACCATATCATGGCGGGAACATGTGGCAGAGCAAACCTGTTCACCTCATGGCCAGGAAGCACAAGAGAGAAAGAAGGGCCTGGGGCCCACAGTCCTCTTCAAGTATACACCCTCAGCCACCTAAGGACCTCCCACGAGGCCCCACCTCCTAGAAGCTTCACCACTTCCCAAGCAAAGACTTTAGCACATGGGTCTTTGTTAGACATGTAAGATCCAAATCACAGCAGTGAGTAAATAACTCTATTAATAACTGAATCCCACAGAGAATATTCAGGTGAATCTTGCATCAAAATAACTGCCATTTTAAGTGATTGGTCTTATTCTGGGCTTGACCACAGACCACCTTGAAAGACAAAGCCAGTCACTTTCCCTGCTCGTTTCTTTCCAGATTAAAGTCTAGAATCAGAAGAGAAAGAAGCTGATCTAGCCAGCATTTCTACTGCTGTAGATAGTATTGTGACTGACAAAAAAACTCTTCAGCAGAACACATCAGAAAGGAAAAAAAAATAATGTTGTGAGTTTCTTATTTCTATTATCATTATTACTTTAATTTTTAAAATTAAAATTAAAGCAAAATTAATTTAGAGAAAGAAACTAGGCAATTCAGGGAAAGAAAAAATTAAATTGTATGTTTGATGAAATTAATTAGACACAAAGTGTCTCTATTTCCCAACTTTTCCAAGGATTTTTTTTCCTGGGTGTTTA